TAGCATAGCTAAAGGTTCTAATTTAGATCGGCCACTATTTAATTATATAGATTAAATACTTACTAAATTTTAAATAGATTAGGTTAAATAATTAAAAAATTAGGGATATAGGAATAAGAAAGTTAGTAGGTAGAGGGCTAGTTATAGGCAGGCTAAGGATAGGGGTCTATGCCCTAGGAAGAAGAAGTAAAGGTAAAGGCAGAGGTAAAGGTAGAATTATTTGCAAAAAGCTCTTCTTTAATAAGGGATCTAAACCTAATCCTAAGGATAGGGACTATCCTTTCTCTATAGGAGGGGGTAGTATAATAATAAAGTAGAATTGCCTGCCTATTATTCTATACTAAGTTAGGCCTAATAAAGGCCTAACTTACTAATATATATAGAGAATAGCTCGCCTATAGTTAGGATAGGCATATTCTTCTTGTCCTTTTATACAAGACCTATAGGTGTAGGAATCTTATCCTTTTCTATATAGACGCGCACTCCCATATGCCTTTGAGTTGTATAGGATACCTTTTGGATGCCCTACCTACCTAAGTCGTTATAGGCTCTACGCTAGCTAATAGTAATATAGTCTCCTTATTAGTAGGTAGTAGTATAGGTCCTATATTAGTTAGTAGTCCTTTAGGGATTATTATAATTCCTATAGATATTACTAAAGGTAGGGGTGTAAGTTATTATTATTAAAAAGGAAAGGATTAAGAAGGAAGAGGTTTAGAGGAAAATAGAGGCTAGGGCTTAGTTAAGAATAATAAGAAGTATAGGCAGGCTAGGCCTAGCTTCTCTAGCTCTAGTCCTATTTCTAGTTCTAGTAGGTCTAGATAGGTAGTAGCTTTTCCTTTCCCTTTAACTTTATTATTACCTATTATAGGAGCGCTTACTAGATCCTATAGTTTATCCTAACTAGCTAGAGCCTTGCTTTTTACTCTAGCCGCGACTTATTTATTATAGTTACCTTTACTAGAAGGTGCTACTATTACACTTACTTTTACTCCTAGATTTAACTTATCCTTTCCCTATCTAGATAATAGTACTATAGGATAATCTATCTCTAGTATAGTTAAGCTTATATTAGAAGAGGTAGTATTAGATAAGTAAGTATTATACTCTAGCTCTTCTAGTAGTAATAGGTTACTAGGGTTAATCCCTAAGCTTTTAAGTTCTTAGTTACTAACTAGCTTTTATTTTAGTAGTATATAGGATAGATATTACTAGGTTTTAGTCTACTCTAATACTATATAGGTGTTATTAGATAGGGAGGAGGTAATATATTTACTTTTAGCGTGTAATAGCTATATAGTGTAAGTCTAGAGACTAGTATATTTAGGTAGTGTAAGGGAAGTGTTAGGCCTCTTAAATAGGTAAGCGCTAGCTAGACTATAATAGTACTAGTTTATTTATGCAAAACGCGTAATATAACTATAAGTTTAACTAACGTAATATAGATTAAATAGCTTTAGCTACTAGATATAATATCTAATAATAAGGAGGGCCTAAATATAGTGTGTAATGTTATTATATTGTCCTAGTCTAGGAGGATAGGAGCTATCTATGGGCAAGCACCGCCAAGAGGCTAAGCCCGTCACACGTGACCCAGGCGTTCATGACACAGCAAAGGAGAAGGTCCGGAAGGCAGTGAGACAGAGACGGATCAAGGAATACCGTCAGAGTAAGACTACTTCGAAGGACAACGAGTTCTATAAAAGAGGACTGCAGGTTGATGTATCATCCGAGGACATTGAGGAGGAGCTTCAGCTCTCGGAGGAGAAACATGCCAATTCGTGGTACGATCCTGACAAAAGAAAAGCCATCAACCAAGAGTCCCTCGATACCAACACTGAAAGAGACAGTCCTAAAACTGATATAAAGGCGAAAATGGCGAAAGTGAAGCGCATCATACAAAGCTTCAATGACACTACTGCGTCAAGGGGAATGAGTAGGACACAAATTCAAAGCGGGTTGACCCATTCGCTAGAATCATTACTCTCAATACCTGGGCGCACAGAGGGGGCAATACAAACTGCCCCCAACGAGACAGAGAATGAAATGCTTGACGCAGAGCAGCTTCTCACTTGGTATGCGCAAAGCCTGAACAAGTGCTACGATGCCCTCATCTCCATACATGAATCTCGTTGAGTGCGTCAATTGCTCTAGACTGGCACTGGACGGCGCATACTCGGGGTAGATGAGGCAAGATTACTGGGATACATGGATCAATTGGAGTCGGCAGTGATCAAGCGACTCGATCAGGCACGTGTACGCCCCGCTCATTTGCCTGTCAGGCAAGCTTGAGAGACTGTACAAAACTGCACACAAATCGACCCCGACTATCTTCAATGCGTCAATAATTCAGAGTCATTCTTTAAAGACCCTGCAACTGAGAGTCAGATTACAGCTGTAGAAGAAAGACTAGGTGTACAACTTCCTGAAGATTACCGTGCCTTTTTACGCCTTACAAGCAACGGGTGGTGGGTCGGTAATCTAGAGCCTCCATTACACCCACACTACGGTAAAAAATTGTTTACTGTAGAATGGTACGCTAGGGGTTTACTATATAGGTGTAAACTAACCTCGTGTATACCCGTAAATAGGTTTAAAGTAGTGGTTTACTTTTATTAAAGTAGTAGTTTACTTTTATAGTAGGGGTTTAAATTAAGTATAAAAAGTAGTTTTATTTCCATTATACGCTATAATACCTAACTAAGATGGTGGGGGGGTGGGGGGGAGGGGCCCTTACGCCCTCCCCACAATAAAATCATAATATAAATGATATGATTTGCCTTTAATTATGAGGCATTGCTAAAC